TTCGCTTAGGTCGGTGTTATGCTTTATGCTTGAAATACAATACCGGCGAACGGCAAACTTCGCCGAATTGGGCGATGCTGTCGTTCACCGTTCGCACGGCTATTTCGCCTACTTAAACAGAATTAGAGCGGTAGCGAAAACAGCTGATATAAAAGAAAATCGTCGAACATGCTTTTGTATGGAAAAAACGTGAAACACCTTCAACCAAAAAAAAATCATGTTTGTTAATTAAATCCTAAAATAGGGCGTTCTTCAAACAAATTCTGAAGTAGGGCGTTTTTGAAGTTTTCTGAAAAAGGCGTTTTCGAACTGGCTGCAGGTCAGTCCATGATAAAAATATACAGGGCTATCACGGAATCCATCGTAGAAAATCTACGAATTCAAATGCCCGCTACGAATACGAAAAAATTGCTATCACTGAATCCGAGTGAACTCGAAAATATCGTTGCCAGCTTCGAATGCTGATTCGAAATCAGTTAGTGCAAAGGAAACAACAGACATTTATGTATGTCATTTTGCTCACGCTCGCCAATCAGGCGCAATGGCCGAGTGTGCAAAGTACTAGACTACCAATTGAGAGAGCTGAGTTCGAGTCCGAGTCGTGGGGCCGTGGAGATTTTTTTCTTTTTTATTTAGTTTTTGTTAATTTTTTTAATAAATATTTTTTTTTTTTTAGTTTATTTTTAGCTTAGATTTTATTATTTTAAATAGATTTTTTTTTTTAAATTTAATTTTTATGATATTAAAGTAATTAGGTTTATTTCCTAATAAATTGTTGCTAAACTATTGTTTCCTCGATTAATGCAAGATTTTAATTCATTAAATAGCGTCTAGCAGATGAATGCGTGTATGTACATATGTATGTATGTATAGCATTGGTATTTTACGTCTACGTTTACACAAATATACGGAATTATATCAAACTATAACAAATTTGGAGTACAATAAATATTTAATATTAAAAATAATGCAGCTTTCTTCCACTATTTTTAAGATTGAGTGATTTTAAATTTTGTTCCGACAGCATAATCTCGTCGTAGAGTATCTGTACGAATCTTCATTACAAACGGATTCAATGAAGGCTCTCTACGAATTTCGAATTTACGTTCGTAGCCATTCGGATTCTGTGATAGCACTTTCGTAGATTTCACGAAAATCGAAGCTACGATGGATTCTGTGATAGCCCTGATAGTAAGGTAGAACCGCTGAGAGGCACTTTTAAAATTCTTGACGTTTCCAAACAATTTAAATTTTGAATTTACTCACAGACTCACACACACACTTTCATTTTCAATCTCAAGCAACAACAATTTCGAACAATTTCAATTTTTTATTTTCAATTTTATATGATTTTAAAATGTTGGCAAACTTCAAAAAAAAATCATGGCCGACGAATTGAGAGAACGATTTTACCTGCAGATTTTGTCATTGTACAGGCTTACATCGGTAAGCATCAACAATAATTTTAGGTACAGACATTCCCTGCTTATCTTGTAAGTTTCATTTCTTATGCAATTATCAAATTCTCCGATAATCGGTCTATATCATCCAAACTCATTTGTTTTAAATTCGCCTCGAAGTCGGACATGAATGCAGATACCAGTTTATCCGTTTGCTGTTCATTGTAGTACTTACGGAATGAACGATGTATTACCTGCAAAAAAGAAAATACTGCCGTTTAAGATATACGAATGGATCCACATAAATCTTGTAGATATTTTATAGTGGCCGTGTAATACATAACCATTTTCGCTAACTCCATGTGTATAAATCGTTTCCATAGTTTAAAAGGCAAAACAAGAACAAATTGGAAAAATTGGTTTTGTTATGCTTTACAATTTTTGGGAATATTAGTTCACATGAAGTTCGTGATAAGGCCGAAGGCCGGTTTTAGTAGAATGCAGCATTCGCAGCATACAATTGCGAATGACTCTCTGGCACCTAGCCGATAAAGAACTTTGGCAAATAAACGTGCAAGAAATAACTCCGATACTAGCACAAGTTCATATTCTTATTGTCTCATAAAAATAAAAATCCTTGTGGTTTAAAGAATAATGGGAATGCCGCATCATACTAAAGCCAACTTCGCGACGTAAGCTACAATTCCATAAGAACACAGATGTGTACCTCTCTTAATCCTTCGATTCGTTGTCGCATTACTACCAAATTCAACTTGCTTCCATCACGAATATTTGGATAGGAAGAGACAGTGTTTTCATCATTTAAAGTACGGCCAAAGAGAAGCAACTTTTGTTCAGATAATGGAATCTGTAGTTTGTTCTCAATTTCGTTTTTTATTTCTAAAATTGTAGTTGCCGATTCCACCTGTAAGAAGCATAAACACATGATTTGAGAACATTGCCGAAATATTTAACACACCTCCAATGTGAAATCCTGCCCTTTTAAAACTTTTATTGTTATTTGCATGACTTTAGTTATTCTTTTATTTCTGTATCCCTTTGGAATTAAATGCTATGCATGATTCAATAATACAAGGTTAGATAATTATTGACAGCTGCGGTTTGACACTCCCTTACAAAAGGTTGCATTTGCGAAGGAGAGAGAAAGGGCAAGAATGCAATCCTTTGTTGCGAAAATGGTAGTAGAAAAGTACGCAAAGTAGGCAATTAGTAGTGAAATTCCTTTTGTAAATTCTAAAGTATTTGCAGGAAATCTGGCATTTTAAACGAAATGTTGAACGTAATATTTATATATCTACGTGAATTACGTAATTTATATGCTATTTAGCTGTTTAAAAACTGCAAAATGACTCAAAATTAAAATAAGACTACTATGAGATTGATATAAACACCCAATGCTTATGTTTTCATCAGTTAAATATGCTTCATATGCATATACAAATAAACATATTGCACAAAAGCTTATACTTTTATTTCACACCAAAGCTACACTGTTTCCATGTAAATTTGCAAAGAAGCAACACGGTGCCTTTGCTAAGGGAGCGGTGCGAGAGAGACAACTGTCAATTTAGGTCGGTGTTATGCAGACAAACTTTTGTTTGCCAAATTAAATGGCGGCTGCTTAGTTTGCTCGGAGGTGGTTATGTCGAGTTTGGCACAGGGTTGCACGTTCATTATGGTTTTCATGGCTATTGCCAACACGAAATGAGAATTTCAGATGTACATAACGCGCAAAATTTAAAATTTTTGTATATGACAACACCGAATTTGCTGCAGTTTGACCAAACAAAATTAGTTTGCTGTGAGAGTCGCCAAACTCGCTCTCTCCGAGTTTGCTGCAACAACAATTGCACGCAGTTTGCCAAACAAAATTTCTGCATAACACCGACCTTATCGAACCTTGTATTATTGAATCATGATGATATGTAAATTTTATACGAATCAGAATAAAGCAAAATGAAACAAAACACTATAAACATCTGATAGTAGTGATTTGCTGAATTGTCGGTACCCAACACTTGAAGAAAATTTCGGTACCCAATACTTTCTTCTTGGTACCCGATACCGATTCGATACATTAAACCTTCGTCATAATATATACACTTGTGGTCAGCTAATTAAGTTTAGGGGTACTGTTTATGAATTTGTACAACGATTTTGGGTTGCTGTGCCCAAACGCGCGAATCGAATCAAAAAACTTTTAGAAGAAAGTATATTTCTGAGCGTTTTTGACATCTGTCTGAGAATGAAAACAAACAAAGAAAACGAAAAAGGCGCGGTGGTTGAGTGCGATTATATTGGCATTTAACATAAAATATAATAAGCGCAACTGAATAAAAATGAGCTAAAGTTGTTCATAAAATATGGTTTTCGTGATAGAAAGTGTTTTGCAACCACGTGGCATAAGCACAGTTCGATTTTTCAATGCCAAAGCTCTGACCAAAAAAGTGCACCCAATTTCACGCAAATTTACGCCTCTTGGCAAACCAAGCCAACACACAAACTTGCTCCACTCCACTCCAGCAATACTCCCCAAAAACCCTTTGTGGAACTTGTATGCTGCTACAACAACAACAACAACAAACTTGCACAAAGCACTTCATTTTATATCATAAATTTTTAATGAATCAAAATGTATAATAAAAATCGCTGTATTCGCGAAGTTGAGTCAATTCGCTAATACGGTGTTCGCATGAGGCGATTTTAAAGGCAACTTTTAGTTGAAACAAAGAACGTAAATCTATAAGAGGAGAAAACACGTTATAATTGTAGCGAGTGTTAACATCAGGAGCGCGCTTTCTCTTTTGCCCAAATACGTTTTTTGATTGGATGAAAAGAGAAGGCACGATGCTGAGGTTAACAATTATAACGTGTTGTCTCTTCTTATAGATTCACGTTCTTTGGTTGAAAGCAACAATCGGCTGGTGTGAACAGCCTTTCAACTAATTGCTTCCAATGAAATTGGGGCAGCCAACTTTTGATTCAACTAATCGCATCTAATATTGCCTGGAAAATCGCCTCATGCGAACATCGTATAAAACTGAGATTCATACGCCATTTCAGGTGGCAGTTTTTTGTATGGCCATATTCAGAATCGTGTCGCAATTTCAGCTGAAATTGAAAATAGTGTCGAAATTGCTCATTTTGGGTGGCGTGGAAACGCGCTTTTAGTCATTTCATGAAAATAGGGCAATTAGACATTTAAGTGCTCATTTACACACGGCGATTTTTGTTGCCGCAACTTTGTTGGAGAGGGCGTGACGAGGAAAGGAGAGGGCCATCGAGTTGCTCGTGCTCGGGCAACACGCTTTGTACTCTCGTTCGTCTGTATAAATTGAACCGCTGTTCACAGCTGACAACAACAATTGCATACACACAAATCGCCGTGTGTAAATGAAACGAGCAACACCAAAAGGGAATGTGAAAAATCGCGTCAACAAAAGTTTCCGTGTATAAACACAGTCTAAACAATTTATTGTATGATTTATTCAGCAGATCTGGGTTGCCACTGGTGAGATTTCTTTTTTCATTTTTAATTCACAATCTTCAATGTCGTTGCCTTTTCCTTTTTCTTTTTATCGTCATCATCATCGGGCGGCCTGCCGCAGTCTTCGTTTCTTCAGCTATTCAGTCGTTATTTGGCTCTCTCATTTTAATTGCAACGTCGCGTGTGTAATTTTTATATTTCGCAAGTAATTTTTTTCCTTTTTAATTATTCTAACCAAAAACTTGTTGAGTTACGCAGTAAATTGTGCTCAAGTAGGTGGTCAAAAATATGTTAGCTAAACGCATATAATTGAATATAAATAATGGTATTTGGTGAAAATTATTTTCTCCACCTGCCACTTCCCTTTCGTGTCGTGATTATTCGGTTTTATCTTTTAGTGGAATTTCCAATATAGAAAAGTAATAAAGTGCATATTTAAACGATGCCGTGCTAATTTTATTTCACGTGTGTGCAAAAGTACATAGCACCAAGTGCCAAAAATAAAGAAAATTATTGTAATTTTACCAATGGAGTGAAGGCTTAATTAAAAATAATACATAATCGCGGTGCAAAACGGCCGCGTTAAGTGTGTGTGTGTGTATGTGTGTATGTGTGTGCAATTCGCGGCGACAGCAACAACAACAGCGTTAACACAAGCAAATAGCAAAAACGCAAAGAAATTGTGACAACCCTAATCTGCTAAGAATTCCTCTCAGCGCTGAGTACCGATTGTAATTTATAAACTTGTATTGGGTATTTACTTTGCTCCACAAATATTCTATTGTGTACTTGATTAAAAAAATATAAAATTTTAATGTTTTCAAATATTAATCGCGGCAAAGAAAGATTTAACAGACTCTTTCAACTGCTGGTGCGTATAATTTTCCCTATTCATGCATATATCACTAATAAATTGCTTGTTGGCTACATATTTGCTAAGTCTTTTCTTGATTGCCCCTTCTCGTCGTTTTGCCTTGCATTTCCTTCTATTTTGTTTTCTCCACCTTTTCTGTTTTGTATGCATCGGCTTTTGGCGTTTGTGTTCGGCCGCTCTGCGTGTACACCATGATTCAACAACTACAGGTTGTAGCAATCGTACAAAAACAACATTTACCGTTGGTATGAACTCCTTGTGTCATCACCATCTTTTTTATCTATTCATATTCGTGTGTATATGTATACCCTGCATACCAGGATTTCATAGAATTGTGAAAGGTTTCACAATTATTTTTATAATTTACTTTAAGAAATCGTACAGAAATTTCTTTACTAGTTCTTGTCAACCACTTCATATGTTTTTCTTTAAAGATTTCTAAAAGAATCGTAGCAAATTTCCGACACTTTTAAAGATTTCGGGAGCATTTGTTTGCAGGGTATATATAGACGTATATGTGTATGTATACGCGGAGATGTAAATAAAGCAAAACAGACGATAATTTGACACAAGCGTGCTCATAAGAAGAAGCATAGCTTCTATCGCTATCACCTGTAATTGATGCGCCTTGGTGTACACGATCGAAAACCGTCCTTTCTATCAGGCCGATTCTGAACAGAAAACTCCCTGGGAGCAAAATGTATTCAACACACACACCTTGTTTAAAACACCTTGCCTGGGTGTTTCTCTCTTTCCCCTTCCTCTTATCATTAATAAAAATTCCCTGATGATTTTTTGTATTAAATGGCGGAGTTGAGGTGTCAAACAGCATTTTCAAAATTCAAATTCCCTCCCAAACTTTCGAGAAAATGCTACTCCCTGGGAATTAATTATTGGAGGATTTCTTTTTTGAGACAAACCAATAAAAATGATCGTTTGTAAGGAAAAATAAAGAAATTATGTTTCACTGCTTGACGTTTTTAAGTAAATTTGAAATTTATTTTGGGAAATGTTTAGTTAGGTTGTTCAAAATAGTATATTTTTCACCGCTGAGAAGCTTTGTTTACAGATCGAGCAAACTAAATAGTGTGCTTATACATATGTACATACATACATACATATGTAAATTTGTGCAAATTAAAATGAAACAAAAAAGCGAGTTTATAAAAGCTTGGTAAAAAAAATTTAATTAGCACAACGGAGTTCTGGTTGAACGATTCGTCAGAGGATGAGGGCTTAAAAAACTGGCCAGGAGCAGAAATGTGAGAGTTTAAGTGCAGTCTTTCGAATATATTTTGACATACAATATATTTAAGAAATTTTGTGATCCAAATCTATTTAAAATATATTACAACTATAAACAGCTCCATGATTTTGTTTTCAGAGATCGTGCCAACAGCGTATAGGAATTTTCTTCTATATGTAAAACCAGACTTTCGAGCTTGTGTTTACTATTCACGACGTAAGAACAATTATTATATATATAATAAAATTAGTGTCTAGCCGCCAAAAAGTAAGAAAACAAATGCAAAATCATACATTTTTAAAATTTTCCAACATTTCGCTACACCAACGAAAGCAAAATCCTGTTCGGCAGAAAGTTCGGTACTCAACGAACATTTCGACACGCTTGCAAAGCTCATAATACGAATTTCACTTTCGATCTTCGATAGCCAGCGAAGATCGAAAATCGAATGCAACTCATAATAGGGGCCAAAAGAAATTATCCCAAGGTTGTTATCAGGCGAAAGAAGGGGGGCTGAACACCTTTCGCAGAGAACACCTTTCTGCGCTTTAGGATTATAATAATTACCAATTAGAATTCCCCTTTTGGTGTGCACCAACTGGGGCTTCCGCCCCTTGGGAAAGGATGAGGTAATTAGAATTCCCTTTCTGTGAGGTAAACATGGGGCTGCCGCCCCAGTGATGTTTATTATTTAGTAAATTTAATAAATTAAATTAAATTAAAGATTAAATAAATATTTGCCTTGGAAAGGTTTATATTTTTAATGCTTACTGGGTTATATCTTATCTTTTGTCTCTGATTCTTTTGCATATTTTGGAGTTTGACAGCTGAACTCCGCCATTTAATTTGCATATGCAACCAAAGTCAGACGCGTGATTTTGAAGTTGTTTTTATTTAATGAATTGTGATTAATCGGTTAGTACTAAAGTCATAAAGAAAGTTATAACTCATCGAGTAAAGTGTAAAGTGAAGGGGAATATAAAAATACTAGTGAATCCGCATGGCGTCAAAACGCCAACTTTTAATTAAATTATTTAAACAGGTGAAACATTATTCAAAAACCTGTAAAAATATTCGTAATGGTTAATATAAACCATTTCTCAGTGACTCAGACTCAGGTCTCGCATGGTGTCGGTTTTTATTTCATCAAATTTCAAATCTCCCTGTAACTTCAAAAAATAAAACCTGTGCACATCTACATATATAGAATCCCAGTTCTGTAATTTGACTTCTCATTTTGGAAATTCGAAATAACGGTGCAGATGTGATGACCTTCACAAAACAAACAACTCTAATTAGAATATTTAGTCTGTTCCTTTGAACTTCGGAGTAAAACCTGTGGAACTCTCAAACTACAATTTTACGCTCTCAAATGAGAGTAAAAGGAGAACAGATGCAGAAGTGCATAGGAACGCAAAAAGCACTATTTCCTGTAAAAACGTCAGACGGTTTGTTTACATGTCTTGGTACTACACTGATTTGGCTGAAATATCACTAAATAATTATTAAAATCTATACATATTCAAATATTTCGTTGTTTACTTCCATTTTTTAACAAATATAATGTTCTTTGCTTTCACCGCTTTCTGTTTTTGTTTGCACATGTAAATCAGCTGATCGTTTGACACTTTTCATGAACTTACAGGAAAAAACTCCGGACAAAATCCTGTAACTTCTGACTAGGAACAGTTGCTCAGTTACTCTCTCTAATGTGTTCCCACTTACAGGTTTTATGTCAATAGGAACGACTTCCTGTAAGTTCTGACTAAATCCTGTAAACCGGACTGCTATTGGAACAGACTAATTATTAGCCTATAGTTTTCTTAAACCTCTTTTGTTTGACACTAATATTTCGATATTACATTTATGTATCTTATAAGTAAAATAAATTCCACTTTTCAAACAGGTGGCAACCTATTACCAAAACCTATTTAAATACAAAATATATTGTTTTATTAGGAATTTGCTGACTTGTGTCAAGATAGCACTACACTTTTCGAAATTGGAAAAGTTAACTACGGCATTAATTGTAGTGTTTTTGTTGTAAATTTGTTGTGGAAAGAAAAAATTTGTAGCTCTCGTTTTTTAAGAAAAAATGGTATGTAGTGCTAACTTGACACCATGCACCATTGACGACAGAATTGAGATATTGAAAAGGTTACAACGGCATTAATTGTAGCTTTTTTGTTGTAAATTTGTTGTGGAAAGAAAAAATTTGTAGCTATCGTTTTTCTGGAAAAAACTGTGCTGACCCTTTTTCGAACAAAATTTAGTATGTAGTGCTAACATGACACCATGCACCATTGTCGACAGAATTGACACATGACAACATGGTGTGATAGCTATTGATCGTCCAAATGCCCAAAACAATTACTTGACACACGTTGGATGGTTTACAAGCATTTTTAATTACTGATTATAATAAATTTAGGAAAAAGATGCAATCTTTAATTTTAGCTGCCTGTCAATCCATAAGGGATCAATGTTTACCACGCACCAACGAAACAAGCATGCGTTTTTTCGTACCAGGAGGAAGCATCGAAAGCCTATACCTTATGAATGCATAAGAGCCCTGCAGTAAAATTTAGAGACAGTCTGACAAAGCACTAGTTCCGAGCTACATATCTTAGAACTATCTCTGACCTAGTGCAAAGAGAATGCAGAGCGGGACAGTTGAAACTTGCGGTGTAAGCGTCCGAATTTGCACTTCTCGTACAATACGAAAGTAGCTCAGCGAGAAGACCTCGGACTCATCCAACGTTGGTTGCAAGTTCAAATCGCGGTGGAGGCAGTTGTGAGTTTTTAAATTTAATGAATTCAGATTGTTGCGTGCAGCTTACAAAATTTTTTTTTTTTTTAATAAAATATGTAAGAAACATTTTTTCTTAAAAAACGAGAGCTACAATTTTTTTTCTTTCCACAACAAATTTTAAAGCTAAAAGCTACAATTAATGGCATAGTCTCAATTCTATTGACTAGGTGTATGGTGTCAAGGTAGTACATACCATATTTTTTAAAAAATTAAAGCATGTTTTCCATAAAAATTTTAATTAAAACCGGCCAAGTTCAATAAAAATTGTTAAGTGGTAATTAAGATCGTAAATATGAAATATGTATGTACTTACCTTAAAAACAATTTGCAAACAATATCTGAGCATTAGCAAGGGTATGCTAATTAAGTTTCTTTAGCATTTTTTCCAGTAGGTACTAGCAACGAGAGTTTAAACTCAAAATATTGACTAAAATTGAAAATTAGCAGAATTTTATTGGTTTGAATCCAATTTTTATTGCAGTCTGATACCAGCACCTCTATGAGTCCGCTAGTGAGGCCGGGTAGTTTTAGGTTATACTAGCAAATGCCCGCTTGCTTCGCGGCGCCTAATAAGATCTTTTGCGGTAGCCAATTCAAAAATAGCGCAAAACGCTTTATGTACATATTAGGAAATCCAAACCCGCATAAAAATCGCATTTCCGCAAGCTTGCGGCGGGATCTAAGTCATCAAAAAAGGAGAACTGAAAAAAATCATATTATTTCCTCTACGTTATCAGTTATATTCAAAATTGATGTGTAAAAGCCGATTTGATTTAGAAAATCTGCGTATTTACTTTTAATTAGGTTGACTTTTTTGATAATATTATCGAAGGAACGATAAAGTCTTTAAAGTTTTATCTTTCAAATTCGACCTTATTTTATTGCACAATCAGGAACTTTTGATTTTGGTGATTATGCATTGTTTCGTGGGTATATGGTCAAAATCGCTATATCTGTTGGGTATTTTTCAGAAGAAAATACACTTAGGTCTCTTTTTATGCGGTACATGCGTTCCTCAGAAAGCCGCATACAAAAGTTCTTTACTTTCATACAAAAACAGGGGATGCGTTCCAGCATTTTCAAAAACCGCATAAATTCAGATACTCCATGTAAAAAATTCTAAAGAGCCGCATAAAAAAATCCAGTGAGGCATTATTGAGCAAAAAAAAAACTATTTATTTCTTCACTTCAACACTTAAGTCTTATTCCATGTAAAACCGAACATTAATGAAATAAATAAAATTGTATCTGTGTTTTAACAAAAAAATAAATAAAAATACCACAATAAATACATGAATTATGTAAGAATACATTAAAAAAAAATTTTTCAAAAAAAGGTTTTTCATAACAGCGGTCGCCCCTCGGCAGGCAATGCCAAACCTCCGAGTGTATTTCTGCCATGAAAAACAGCTTCTCGTAAAAATACAATCGCCGTTCGGAGTCGGCGTAAAACTGTAGGTCCCTCCGCTTTGTGTGACAACATCAAGGCGCACGCCACAAATCGGAGGAGGAGCTCCACTTACATATGTGTAAGCGCCAATCTATTATTATTATTATATAAGAATACAAAGACAAATTATTTATCAGAAGCATTGTCTTTTACACACTGAAAAAAGTAATAAAAACTCTCAAAAAAGCAAAATCGCTACTGCGAAATAATGGTTTGAAAAACCGCATAAATTCAAATCCGCATAAAAAGAGACATAAGTGTATATCATTATAAGAGTTACCGTTGTGTTTTAGCCGATCTGAAACAATACCCGCTCGCTGTAATCCCAAAACTAGCTATACCATCAGTGATTCTGGATTATTCATATTTAACTAAGAACTAAGAACAGGACTTCCTCTTAACTGTTTTACCGTTTGATGTTTGAAAATGACGTTAAAGTAATATATTTTATATGTATAACATACTCTTGAAAATTACACCTGAATGTGTGCCTCTAATAGAATCAGAGTTATGAGTATTCAAAATTGATCATCTGAAAGGAAGCTTTAAAAAAATCAAATGTTCTGCTGGCGCACTAATTAGTTATCGATAGGAACGGACTGTTCTACACTTTTATAATGTGTTCATAAATCGGTAAGTGAACAAAGTTTAAGCTAGTTTTCAAATTTTAATCAATTACGCAGGACCACAAAACAAAATCGATGTGTTTTTGGGGTTGCTGAACACGAATCTGACGTCCGTTTTGCTCCATCATGTCAGGATTTTCTTCTAACTTCGAAACACCTTGCTAAACACAATGAACTTCTCCAAAAGGCCTTCTGAAGTACGTTCTATAAAAGCCCTTCTGGAAGTCCTTCCATGGGTAGCGAAAGAAGAAGCCCTTCAATTGATGACAGTCCATACAAAAGAGAAAGGTGAAAGGAATGGAGAGTGGAAGGGCTCTTGACTCTCAGGAAGACCTTTCGGAAGGGCTTTCAACTCCTGAAATTATCTACTGGGCTATAAAATGATAAAAAATGTATAGTCCTGCAAATCTCGCCCATCCCGCATGTGTAATCCCTCATTTCTGATCCCGAAAAAATTGCGCGGGATCCCGCGTATAAACAAGCTATATATTTGAGTTTGACGCGGTTCTCCATAGGTAAATGTGGTAGGACCCTGTCGGGTTTTTGGCAGCTGAGTACAGTTCACAAGCCAATCTAACTTTCTTAGCTTTAGGCCAAATTTATTGCATGCAAATGTATGTAGCAAAAACGTAAGCTGCTCATACGCCATTTTGACAGTTTTAGACGTATTAAATTTTATTTAATTCGCTGCCCAAATCGGCAAAAAATTTTAATTCCGTGATTCCTACAAATCGTCAGCTCAAATGCAAAAAGACGTAACAAGCATCATCGCTGAAATGCAAAAAGTCATAACTAATAAAAAATTCAAAATCCACATTGATTAGGTATATGATGGATTTTATCAAATTACAACTCCCCACACCACTTAATAAAAAAAAAAACAAATATTGGTTACGACTTTTTCCATTTCAGTTGCGATGTTGTTACGTCTTTTTGCATTTCAGGCGACAGAATACTTATGTATGCTTTTCTATAATATTGCTTATTGCTCTTTGCTATGTTTAATTTTTAATATTACATACTATGTATTTATGTTATATGTACTTAGTTCTATTCGTTTTTCTACGTGTATGGACGAATTATCGAAAATAATTTACAGGAATGTTTGAAAAACCGATTCTTCCTCATGTCAATCTTAGCATTTCCCTAAATGACACATTTACATAAATTTCTTGATTGCATGTACATACATGCATACAGTGGTGGTCGAAAATCGGTGAATGGTGTTTCGTTTTTAATATTTACAATGTTTTTCTAGCTAAAATATTTTTGATATTTTTTTATAAAAATATGCGTCACGCTTTAACAAAAACTATATAAATCACACTTTCAAACTTTATACAGAACTTAGAAAAATTTCAAAAATTTTTATCTAAATTTCGAGCTTTTCAACCAGAATTTTTAGAAATTTTTTGGGTATGCAGTTAACAAGCTTATGAAATTCTAGTAAAATAAGTGCAAGTTTTGAGCGGCTAAAAAATCGCCATGATTTTTAATATTTTTTTTTTTTTTGTTGACAACGTTTTGCACTTTTTTCCATATAAACATGAATTTTTTTGTGGACGAATATGTGCAAGACTTTTTGCGAAAAAAAATTGAAAGAATTTTGCTTTTTGTATGAAAAAACCGAAAAAGCCGTCGTAAAAAAGTTATTAAAAATCAATGCGTTAATGTTAAAATATGACCCATATTTTTATAAAAAAAATATCAAAAAATTTTAGTTTGAAAAATATTGTAAATATTAAAATCTAAACACCATTCATCCATTTTTGACCGCCACTCTACTACATTTGCACGACTCCCCAAAGCCGTTTATTAACCTTTGCATTTTAGTTTTAAGTGTTGCTGACATTTTAACTTACAAACTTTGATATTATTTTCAAATAAATGTCCTAATTTTTCTCTTTCTTTCTCATCTTCTTTGCAGAAATAACCGCACATCTACATCAAAATGTCAAATATTAAATAAATTTCATTCAAACTCAGCGAATGCGAATGCCCTATTAAAAATAAAAAAAGACACCAGTAAAAAAACAATGTACTAAAACGGAATGCGAATGCGAATGTGAATGTAAATGTGTGATGTAATAGACTTAACCAAAAACAAACCCATAAAACGCAGCAATAGCAATAACAACACAGTCGTCTGCACAATGATTTGAAAAATTCCCTTAGATTTTTAAGTATCTAAGTATGCTAGTGAACAAAAAAACGCGTTCGAAAGCGGTAAAAAGCAAATAGCCGTTACAGTTATATGTACATACATATATATGTACAAAGTATGTAGATATATATGTTCTCTTTTTATGATTTAAAAATGTTTCTCTTGCCTTATTGGTATAAACATAGGTACATATTTCGCCAAGAATGTGTGAAACATTTTTTTATCTGCTTTGATTTGCATTAAATTAATAGAATATGAATACCATGATCATTTAAATCGCTAGCAAATACATACCCTGTGGGGAAAATCTCTAGTTCTGAACTGGGGCGCTTCTAGTACATTTAGACCCAGTACTGGTTCGACAGACGAAAGAAAAAAGTATCATGATTTTTCAATCTTTTTGGTTCTTCCGTGTGTGCGGTTTTAAGTTATTTTGGAAATGTGTTTTCAATTTGAAATTAAATTTATTCGAATGATTGTAAGAAATGTACGTTTACATACCTTTAGCTGTAGCTGAGTTTGCAGAGTTGCTCGTTGTTATTTCTTAGATTCCAGACGGTCCCAAGATGTTGAAATGTTAACACAAATTTTACTTTTATATTACCAAGCTATGAAAAAGCATCTGCGAAGCGCAGTATAGAAGCGTATTTGAACGAAAAAGCCGCCGAACACATATCTATGTAAAGTAAACAAGCCCCCCGCTGCATCCCTTATTCGATAGTTCCGAATTAGTTCTAAATTCGACAAATAAGATCTAGTTCGTTCTGCATCCCTTTTTCTATAGTTCCGAACCATTTCTAAATTCGTCACTTTAGATATCGATTTCTAGTGAAAAAACTGAAATAAATTAGTTTTTTAAAAGTACCACTTTTCACCGATTTTGGACTGGTGGGGATTTAGTTCATATCGGACTAGTTCCTTTTTGGCGATAAAGACCTAGTACGAAACTAGAAATTTGATTCACTAGTCCGCGGTTTCCCTGCAGGGTAGCGACATACAAATACATAAATATCAATGTCTATGAATGAATTCATGTAGGCCACTATTGAGATTGTAACACTGCGCGTTGGGACCAATACGACAAATACATATGTACATTTGAGCGCATTATGAAATAAAAGATATGCGAAGCTGTAATGCGTGAAGCAGAAACGAAACTCGTCATAAAATTGAAAAGAACCGGATAGAGTCACTTGAAAAAGCCATCAGAATGATGTTCAATAGAGAGCTGCAATGACTGCTGTTACACTGTTGCTTTAAGCATTAGCAGACACAAAAACGAAAGCAGCAAAAGAAGAAGAAAAGAATTGGCCAATCAACATAACAGTGGTGACGTCTAAGGCATGGATTACTTATGCATTCCATTGTATGACGGGAAAGAAGTATTCGCACTTAGTGCAGTACATAGAGAAGTTGTAAACAATTTTTTGTTTTAGTCTTCTTTTTGTAAATCCTTATTTATATACATACTGTGAAGTCTGTCAGAAACCATTTTTAAATAACTTGGCATAATGAAATTGTTTGAAACAATCGTTTTTGAATTTTTTGAAAAACATTTTTGTTTCAAAATAACCTATCCAGCTCTCTAGAAAAACCAATAATTCACAAGAAAAACGCTCAAGAAATGAAAAAGAAATTTTTTTCTATAACAATTTTTAAATCAGTTTGCAGCTCAAAGAAAAAATGTTCCTTTGTTTCTCGATTTATTTTATATATGGTATATTTTTTCAACAAAATTTACGGCAAAAGCAAACTACAGAAATAAAGAACCATGGTGGAATAATAACAAGGTGTTGTCAGTAGCGACGTGTTTGTTGTGATTTTGACAAGATCGGCATGCTTATTTTCAGGGCAGCCGATCTTAATTTTTATACTACTATTCGTTGGGAAATAGTATCTAAAATACTTCATTTTAGTAATTCGTTTTATCGCGATTTTTAAAGAACTTTGTGTTTTCAGAACAATATTAATATTTAAAATTGCTGGATTTGTATAATTTTTGTCCTCAAAAAGTAAAAAAATAAAAGATATCATGGTTATCAATGGAAAAAAAACGTACCCAAAAATCGTATGGAAAGGCGATTTTTTATATTAAATAACTTTTGCTGCATTGTCATAATATTGAGCCAAATGAACTACTGATACACTAGAAAAGAGTGGCTGGATGGTTAAATTAGGAATTCGCTTACATAATCGATATTTATGTAATTTAATCTATTTAAAAAATCATTTGCAGTCCTTTAGGAAATTGCCTTATTTTACGGCTTTTACTTTTATAAAGTTACAATATATGTCTAAGCTGTGTGGAGCTGCCGAAACAAACATATATTCAGGCTTATAAGCCTGTAATTATACATTTTTCTACATTTAATTTGAAAAAGTACGCACCACCGGTTAAAAAGTAGTAAATAATTAGTACCTTTTTTACTAATTTAAAATGCGTGACCGGAATAGACCTGCCGAAAAAGTGAGGTTAAGTCACTGACAACCCCTTGTTATTATTACACCATAATAAAGAACAATATTTCTTGAGATCAAAAGTTTATGAAGTAACGACAGCTTTAAACAAGGTGGAATTCAATCAATTCAATATGTTTTACTTAATTGATGGCCAGTTATAATTGCCTTCCCCCTATTTTACAATGTACTTAGTCAGAGTATTGCAAAATTAAACCCCGGCACCACCCAGCGGGAAAGTAATACTTCTGGTGTCCATATTTCAAGCAAAAGAATAGTTCTTCAATTTGGTTGAACATGTAGAATTATGAAAATGTTTATTTTATCCATCCATGTAAAAAATATAATTTCACTTTTTATGTATTTTTGTTAAACAATTTTTTTTTTAATTCGAATCGTCTGACAAATCACAGAGCCAAAAATTTCGACGAACATTCTCTCTCAAATGTACTATGTTATCTTATGTGTATGTACTACTTAAGCTAATACTAGTCTCTAAAGTACATATGTATGTATGTATATATGGATGTATGTTTCTTAGGAATAGTGGAATGCTAAGACAAAGCACAAACACATGTGCATGCATAAATATATACATATACATATATGTATGTGCGTACACATGTATTCATTCACATTCATCCATAAACTAAATTTTACTCTGCTCATTTGCTTATTCTTTAGGTTCTTCTACATTTAGTAGCTTTAGCGCAGAATTAAAAATAATAGTAAACAACAAATTGTAAGTATTTAAAAGCAAAGCAAAGTAGAAGACGAACTAAGTAACAACATTCGAGAAGTAATAAATATGGGTATTTAACCCTGCAGTGAAAGCTACTAGTGGAAAACCAGAATAAATACTGCAGCAGCTAAACTAGTTCGTTTTCGATAATATTTTTATCGACTAGCAACTGGTTTTCGCGAACGCATTAAATACTGCAATCAGTAGCAGTCGGGTTGCAAGCTGCGCATTACTTCTATTTCTGTATTTTTCGATCTCAAAAATACGATTTTTAGCTTTAAAGCATCCATTTTAAGTACATAAATATATATTACAAAAAAAAAAAACTATTCGTAAACAAACAGTGCAGTCAAAGCATCAATATATGTATGTAGCATGCATATATTTAATCATGGCAGTTGCATAAAGTCGTTTATGAAGAAACTCTATCTTATGTTTGCTGACGATGATGCTACAAAATTAAAAATGGCCGGGTATGCTAGGCTTCCGCATTAGCTCATACCAATTAATGGACTAGTCGGTTTCTATTGATTGATATGCTAAAACGTTTATCGACTAAATTGGCATTACACTGCTTAGGTAAACACATACATATGTACATATGTACATGTCTCGTGAAATACATACATATGTATGTATGTAGGTATATGTAATTATGTACATACATACGATGTATTGAAAAGAGAGTTGAATGCCTACACTTACCATGTGTGCAGTTATCAATCAGAAAATCAACTACTTTAAAAGCAATTTAATAGTAACTGTTTTATTAACTAAGTACCTACATATGTACATAGTGCATATATAGAAGAGTAATCGAAATTCTTTCTTTTTTTCTTGTAAGCAACTGGCATTATTAATAGGCCCCACTTTGAATATGATTTCAACTATGTTTGTATGTATGTGCAATACATTTGACTTCAAACTAATTGCCTGAATACGTATCCAAATAGATAGTTTGTTTCCAACTACTTATTCAGTTGGTTAATTTTTGAGACTGTCTACTTTGTTCCGACAGGGGTACTTGTAAATTTTGTATATGCACATATGCATGTGCATACCTATGTATGAAGATATCCATAAGAACACAAAATCAAAGAGGCAATAACATCCGCCACATGTGTACACACACATACATATGTATATACATATGCACACTTGTGCATAAAAATTACTCATACACACATGCATACATACAGTATGTATGTATTTACATACCCAGCAAGAACAGTACCAGACAATTGATGGGATTTAAGACCAACAATTATGACAGAATGTGGCGTTATTCGTTAGCACATCGATGTAGTCATTTTTATTATGATCACAGGCAAAATATTAGCATCATCTGTTACTCTCACCAATTAATGTGATTTCCTCTCACTCTCACTCTCGTCGTTTGATAAAAACTTTTGTGAAATTTTTTTCCCACGATTGTTGTAGTTTTGCTGGGTACCTACTTTGTATCTAATATAAGAATAAAAACTTATTTGTGGACTGCATTCGAGGTTACCGCAGAACTGCACAGGCAAACACCGATGGCAAACACCAACTGTCATTTTGACGATATGATTGCAAGTTTTTGTGTGTGGGCACTTTGATGTCTTGAAATAAGCATTTGTCGCATGACGCCACCAGACAACACTCTCTCAATTTCGGTGTTTAAAAACATTTCAATCTTTAAAAAACTTGCTGAATAATTTCCTAAAACGTAATCATAAATAATCCAATAGGGAACAGATTTTTATTTTGATTTAATATACAAATTTCATCGATGTTACCACCAGCACGCTTTCTTTCAAATGAAAATATGGCTGTCAAACTATCGAATTGCCTGCAATAGATGTCAAACGAATGAAAAGAGAAATCGACTAAGCAGTGACTGTCTGTCCGTCCGTCCGTCCGTCTGTGCACACGGTAACTCGAGTAAAAATTTAGATATCTTAACGAAAATTGGTATGTCCACTTCTTTCGGGCGTAGGACAGATGGTATTGAAAATGAGCAAAATCGGACTATAACCACGCCTACCTCCCATATAACGGTAATTTCCAGATATACGAAAACTGCGATATTTTAGTAACTACTGAAGATTATTCACTCAAAATTGATATTTAGAATAATTTTTAGGCGAAACATAAGAATATTATACATTTTTGGTAAATGGGCGTGGCCACGCCCACTTATGGTTACGTGTGTATGCCTTGGTAGCTGCTGCACAAATTTCTTCCAAACTTGGCGCAGTTGTTGACCTTGGTACAACATACCAAATGGCCGACAATTTTTAAAATCGGACAATAACCACGCCCACATCCCACATAACGGTAATTTAGAGAAATACGAAATACTCGGTAAATCAGTAAATATAAAAGCTAATTTGTTCAAAATTGATGTTTGCAACAATTCTTTACCAAGAAATACATTTATGGTAAAACCAATACCAATTTGTACCAAACTCGGTATGGTTATTGTGCTTTCCACATAAAAGCAAAACGTTGAAAATTATTGAAATCGGACTAAAATTACTGCCGCTTTTCATATAAAAGTAAAGTTCAGAAATGCTCGAAACTTCAATATTTCGAAATTTAAGGACGCTAATTTACCCAAAATTGATACTAAAAACAATCCCTTGAAAATAAGTAACAGACTTTCTTACTAGTTTTTTTATGAAAAAATTGAATCTGTAAAAGAAAATAAAAAACTAAAAAAATATCCAAACATTTAATCTTAAAAAACGTTTTCTTATAACTATACAACTGTCCAAAACGGAACCGGTTCAAAGTTAGTTGCAAAGTAATGCACTGGACTTGAGCTAGAGTTAGCACTGTCGGCAAAAGGTCTACATAGTTCTACGATAGTTCTGAGTTAGTCAGATTTTCTGCAGGGTATACATAAATATGTATGTGTGTGTACATGCACAAACGTCCCTGCAGGAAATGGGACTACTTAGTTTGTAGCTAACTATTAACTAACTAGCAGTCGACAAGTGGATTTTTATTAATAACTATTTCCTTTGGCCGCAACTAACTACTTTTGAATGGCGATGGTCCCAAAATAGTGAGAACTGATTTCCTCTGCATGAGATGTCAACTAACTTGTATCTAACTACTTTTGGACATAAACTATCAATTAAAAAAATGATTTTTAAATTTTTTATTTTTTTTACTTATTTTATTTAACATTACATATTTGCTCATTTATTTATATAGTGTTCTTTTGTAGGTGGTCTCACATTTGAATTCGATCAGATATAACATCAAAATGATAATATAAAATTTCGACCTTTATTTTATTTGGCCTGAATACGAAAAAGAATCTGCGAAGTGCAGACAAAAAGTGTATTGAAAGTAATTTTTGTATGAGGATATTTAAATAGAAACTCGTAAAGAAAACAAACTCCCGATAACGTCTGCATGACTCCTACATGACTTTACCTCTTACTTAAACTCAGTTTTGTCACAGCTAATTAAAAGTTAGTTATTTGTCGAGATCCCGCAAGAAAGCTAACTAGAAGTTGGTTATTTTAATCAATTGATAATTTTTTTCTGCAGGGATATGCCTTACTGTGCATCCGCACCGACGATTAATTTCAGACTAACCACCGGCGGGTTGTGAACAAGACTTCGCTACTCGCTGCGACAGTGGCCAAGAATCCACGGTCTCGTCGGTCGCACCTGTTTGCCCAGTTTACGCGCTAGATGCGAGATGGGTTGCTTGTTTTGTTTATATTTTGCAATTTTACAATTTTTGCTCATTCCTTATCGTGGCTTTCGTATACTCGGTTAACGGTTAATGCCGCAATTTGTTATCGTGCCGGATAGTTTTGTATCGTTATATCTACGACAAAGTGTTCCCGTCCTCCCATATTCGTTCAGGCATTCAGGAATCTACACCAATAGTCGAGTTGTGATCTGTATTGCCCAGTTGGTTTTCAGCTGCAACTGGCTGCATTGCACTCTCAATTCCAAGTTAGCATAAATACATACATACATACATCCATGCATTCTCGTCTATGTACTAAAAGTTTATAGTGTTGTGCGTGTTGTTGCTGCTGTTGCTGTTGTCCCGTGTTACTATTTTGCCAATTGTTGTATAAGTTTTTAATGCCAACAACAGCATTGTTATAATCGCCGTTGTCGTTGCCGTCGTCATCATCGTCGCCGTCACCGTCACCGTCACCGTCACCGTCACCAATTTCCACACATCTAATACTAAGTATCTTTGTCTCCGAAAGCTTCATCTCCGTCACGATACCCGTAAAAGAACATATCGTGATTAGCAGCAGTAGCTGGCCTAGCTGGGACGACGTATTATGGATAGCACGGCTAAAGCGGTAGCAGCAGTAGTGACGACGCCGTCAGCAACAAGTGGTGTTGGTGGAACAGCGACGTCCGCATCGGGCATTAAGCTTAGTCCGACAGACGCTGCTGCCAATAATAATAATAACAATAATAATACAACAACAGTGACAACTAACGGTATCAAAGAGAATAACAGTAATAATATAGCAACATCTTCCTCGTCAGCAACGCCTCTTTCAGCGGCGGCGATACCGATTGTTGTAACGGGGGGCAGCGGCAGTGCTGGCACATCTGCGCCCACCTCATCGCCAACAGCCAGTTCACCATTGTCAGCGGCGGCATCTGCAGCGGCGACACCAAATAGCGGCGAGGTGAGTTTTTAAATATTCAATAGGAGTGCGAGTCAACGAGTTGAATTGAACTCATTAAAACAGTGACATAGTACAAATGTATCAATACTAACGATTTATATCTACGTATATGTATATATGTATATGTGTATATGTATGTATGTATGTATGTATATGTACATACAATACATACACCTTTAAGCACAATCGAGACCAACGAAAAGCGAATGGACGGTGAGAAACCGTAAAATATAGATTTTGCATGACATTACGGTTAAATGAAAAGAACATTCATAACTACTTTTTTTGTTTTTACATACATACATATGGCACGATTCACGTCAACCGGCCCAGAGCTCGCCCAAAATTCCAATCAATGAAAATTAATATGCAACGCTTTCAATTAAAACGGGGCGAATTAAAAATTTCAAAATGGCGTCTTTAGATACTGCAGCTCTTAAAGACACTCTTTTCGCGAAGAAGCGAATATACTTATTAATTTCTGCAAATGATGACAGAAAGATAGATCAAGACTTATACTATAGTTTTCGAAGTCGCTGATTACGAATCTGAAGTATATTTTTTTAAACTCAAAATGGTTAAGATTTTTTAAAAATGTAGCGGATTCACTTAAGAGTTCGTTACTCGGGGAGATCTCGGCGTCGCTGATTACTAGAGCTGGATTTTTTAGTTCACTTTAAAGATTAGTTCACTTCTATGCTCAATGAACTAGCTCTTCTGTGACTGAGTTCGTTCACCTTATTGAACTATAGCGCTTCATTTTGGTATTACAACAAATCCCAAAAAGCCAACTCAAGTACTTACTTTTTAATAGCAAATGGAATAAACGATGTAAAATATGGAACAACAACCAAAAACGAGAACTCATTTGTGTTGTAAAATTCATTTCCATTTTTATGGGAGTGTTACCACAGGAAACTTTAGTTCGCGAACTAATGAACTAGTTCAATAAAAAGAGCTGGCTCTTTCGCTTCAAAAGCTTCCCAAGCCTACTGATTACGAATCTGAAGTCAAATTAGAGAAATTCAAAATTGCGGACCCAATATGGCAAACAAAAAAATCAAAATCGATTGGATTCGCTTAAAACTTTACAATTTACAAGTTGAAATCAGATTTTAAAAATTCAAGATGGTAGATCCATATTGGACATACATGGCGTATGAGTAACATTTTCATCTCGTCTGGTTAACTCATACGCCATGAACTGAATTTTGTTTGAAAATGAGTTAGGGTCTGTCTACATACATATATGGGTATTCGCTCTTTTGTTTATTCATTTTGGGGTATTCACAACGGTGTCGTAAGTGTCGTATTGTTGTATGTCGTAAACTTTAAACGTCTAAAAAATATATTATGGGGGTTCGCAAAGTACCAGCAAAGTCATATTATGAATTCAATTTTACGACATACAACAATACCACACATACGACATACAACAATACGACACTTACGACACCGTTGTGAATCCCTCAATTGTATTTTTTTAATTCTAACCGGATAAGCGTGCGATTGTTGTTGCAAGTGCATTTAATGTTCCACCAGCAACAACAATCCACACGCTCATTTAGTTACGCTAACACAAGATACAACGAACACACAAAAGAGCGAATAAGCCTTATATTAAGCTAGCGATATGCACATTCGTACATATGTATGTATGTAAGCCCGATAATTAGGTGTCGAAGATTTGACAGATCTAAAATTTACATTTAATTTTGACATTCGAAGATACACCGATACTCCGACGTTCGCTTCGATTGTGTTCATTTAACAAAACTCGTTTTTTATTTAATTGCTGTTATTCTTGTCAAATGTGGCTGCCCGTATCTGTATATATGCATGAGTTTAAAACTTTACCTAGTCTTATAACCCCAGTTTTCAAATTATTAAACCCCGATTTTTTGTAGGAAACAAGGATAAGGATAAGGGCAGGGCGCAGGCTGTACAACTCAAATTTGTTAATATTAACGAAAAAAATTCGCTTTGAAATTCATACTAAAACCCTGTGCGACAATTTATGGAAATTCAAACCAGGCCCATACACCTCTCAAAAATCAAATTTCGAAGTTCGTCAAAAGTTTGTTATGTTTTAGAAAAATTTTACTATTTATAATTTTTTTCACGAACGTAAAAGTTTTGCCTGAGAAGACCACTTGCAAAATTTTGCGAAGAATAATTCTCTAGAACATTTTAACTATCTCACAACCTTCCAAATTTGCTTTTCGAGGAAATTCTAGAAGTAAGGCTCAAAACCACCCTTTCAGGCAGAAGCTGATGCGTTCGAATGTTCTACGAAAATATTTCACGTCAAATTTTTCTACATACATCTTCACCTTTAATTTCGCATAGACATTTATTTACCCATTTTTTTCACTTTTTTGAAAACTACTTAGACCGGGACATGAAAACTTTAGTAGGCCATAAAATAAGAATAGTGGTAACTTTTGTAAACCATTTCTACCGGATATATACCTAATACTTTGAGAAAATTATGGTTTCGGCTGTAATCACTCGTTTATTGAAAAAAAATCTTGAGTTACTTAGGGTATATATTTTCCAACACAAAGAAGTCTGTAGCACGTTTCTGTAACTCTTCTCTCCCGATTATTTCTCTACTGGTAGAGAATATACGTCATTCTCTACTACTCATTAGCAGTAGAGAACAAGGCGGCGAATTCATTCGCCTTGGTAGAGAATTGTTACAGAAACGAGCTACTGGCTTGAAAATGCAAATATATATTTTGTTATTAAAAACTTAAACATATTTTTCCGATTTTAATGGTTTTTATTTTAAACGAATATATTGCACGCGGCGGCTGCTGTGCTGTAGTGGTAAGCAGTGCGCGCTTCTACTTGGCAGTGCCTGGGTTCAAACCCTGGTCAAGGCAACATCGCAAAAAATGTAGAAAAAAGTTTTTTCTTAACAGCGGTCGCGCCTCGGCAAGCAATGGCAAACATCCGGGTGTATTGCTGCCATTAAAAACAGCTTCTCATAAAAATACAATCGCCGTTCGGAGTCGGCGTAAAACTGTAGGTCGCTCCGCGGAGGAGAAGCTCGGCCAAACACTAACGTATGTGTAAGCGTAATACAGGGAAGTAATTCAAAATGTATGTTTTTAGAGATTTCATAATACAATTATTAAGCTTGATAAGAAGAATATGTTCAGTCTGACAGATAACTAAACTTACCAGAACCGGCGAAAATATGTGTATTTGCAAGTACCACAGATAATACCCCTATCGGTACAGGTTATATTAAAAAAATTTTGTCCAAATCCGTTTAGTAATTTTCGATATTAGCGTGGTCAAAAAATCGAGACTTTGCTTTATACTATGTAAGGATATGGATAAGGATGAAGCTTTATGCAAAACACTATGAATATAGCAAAAAGATACATAATCAACATATATTTTAAAGGTTTAATTGCTAAAGACTTAAAAAAAATTTCCAAGTTTTCCATGTATTGGAAAAACAAGTTTTCATAGAAATGGTATAGAATTCTTGAAAATCAATATTTTTCGATCGAAAAACTCTGGCTCTTTTCAGGAGACTTTTAGTGATAATACCCAATTGTTTATTTAACCATTTTTTAATACTAACGATTTTTTATTATTCTCTCCATTGCATTTTTCGGTTTTTTTTTTGGTTTTTGGCGAACCTATAAATTATAGTTGCGATGAAAAAATGGTTAAATAAACAATTGGGTATTATTATTGGGATTTGCATGAAATCTATACCATTTCTACGAAAAGTGGTTTTTTCCACATATAAAATACATGAAAAACTTTGGGGGCTTTTAGCGACCTCTAAAGATTTTTTGATTTCAAAATAAAAAAAATATGAGGTATATTGTTTTCGGTGTAGAACAATACTAATATTTTGGCGGTTAAATTTTTGTTTAGTGTTTGGTCGATAGATATTGGCCATCTATTGTGCCGAGCTTCTCCAATTTGTGGTTTGCGTCTTGATGTTGTTACACAAATTGAGGAATCTACATTTAAATAACCCGCCTCCGAACTACAATTGGATTTTATAAGAATTTCATGGCAGCAATACACTCGGAGGTTTTCCATTGCCTTCGGAGAGGCGGCCGCTATTAGAAAAACTTCTTCACTGTTGCTTTATGTTGACATCACCGCCATCCAAGAAATGCGTTGGACGGGACAAGGCAAAAAATGTCTGGGCCTTTATACGTCTAATACAGCTGTCATGCAAAGGTGCCCAAATTCGGTTTTGGATTTAGCGCCAATCCGCATCAAAGCGAGATTCTTCACCATCTCGGTTATCTGCGTCTATGCCCCGGCGGAAAAGAACGGCGAGACGTTCAAGGATCTTTTCTATGAGCGCTTGCAGCGTACATACGAGCGTTGCCCCCGTCACGATATCAAAATCGTGCTTGGTGATTTTAATGCCAAGGAACAAGGTTGTAAGCAAAACTGGGTTAATGCATTAAAGAAATCCATCAAACCACTTTTCTCGTCTCCATATCGAAAAACGAGAAACCAAATCAATCATGTTGTGATACACGGAAGGCATGCTTCCATTCTTTTAAGCGTAAGTACACTCCGAGGGCCAAGGATCGACTCGGATCACTTTTTTGTTGCAGCCAATATGCAAACCCGGCTCTGTGCAGAAAAAGGATTGCAAAATTTTGCCGCCGAAGATGAGGAATTTCAGGAAGCTACAGAGAAAAGTGATGCCGTCTACAGGGCCACGCTGCGATCGGGCGCAACGCGAGCTATTTAAAATCGGTATAGGGAACTGAAGAGGAAAGCGATATGTTTTTTCCGCAATAAAAAGAGGGTGGCCGAAATACGCGAGTGCGAAGAGCTTGAAATGCTGGCCGCAAATTTTACCAGAGAGTTAGGCGACTTACGGAAGGTTTGAAGACAAGGACGAACTCCTGTAAGAACAACCATGGCGATCTAGTGCTGACCGATGTACAGAACGTACTTAAATTATGGAGGGAACACTTTTCAACCCTACTGCATGGTAGCAGCACTGCCAGTTGTGGAAGAGGCAATAGCAATTACGCAACTGCTCGATCTGACAGCCTGCCAGCTGAGCTATTCAAGTACGGCGACGAGGAGCTGATAAGGTGCTTGCATCAACTCTTGTGCACTCTGCCCAATCCACAAGAAAGGCGACCCTGCCATTCGCGCCAAGTATCGCCGGATCAGCCTTCTCAGCATAGGTTACTAGGTTTTAACGAGCGTATTGTGTGTGTCTAAAAATCGGCAAAATGACGCTTACGACAGTCTTTTATCCAGGCGACGATATATTAATGCACTTGTATAAAGATTTAAATGTTCAAAGATTTGTGATAATTTTCTCCTCAACAAAGACGCATTCGAAAACATTTTAAGTGCTCTGAAGAAGAACTGGGGCTAGGTGTAGAAGCTATAACCGGCCGAAAGAAGGCAGGTTCATTTAATTTTAAATATAATAATTTCTTAATACATACAACGGAGAGTTTTCGTAAAATTTACCAAATATATGCCGAAAGATTTCGCAGACACGAATGCAAATGTCTATGTACCTAAGTGCTTTGGACCACCTTTTTTTTTTTTGTTTTCATACGATATATACATATGTACGAATGTTCTAACCAGCCCAAAATCCTGCCGTCCATTCTGGCAAAGGCTTTAAACTTTATGGGTGCTTTTATTAGATATGACATTTATGTATGTATATTTGTATTTCATTCCAACTTTTCTAAAACCTCACAGGCCGCAAAACTTAAGAGACAAGGATTTGCAAGAACCAAGGTAAATCATTTAGATAGAAACTGGAAAAAAAAACCCTCCGCCTTCTCCGAATGTAATGCATAACGTTACGGTAGTTGTCCGCCCGTAGAATTCTGGCTCAAATGCCAATAGCAGCACCGTTGCTTGCCGGCGACAAAACTATTCGTCGCTGCTTTCTGGCAACGCTCTTTATGTAGATATAAATATCAGTGCCAACTGCGCATGCTTTTATTTCTGCTTGGTTGTGTAGTGTTCCATTCCAATCATATTGTATTTGTTGTAGAGCCTTGCACATAATTTTCAAAAGCATTCCTTTTGTTAATGCCAATCTGGTTTTATTTTGCAGGCTAATAAGGATAATAAAAGCACACCACCACGAGATGCTCCACCGCCAACATCAATCACCAAAGGCTTAAATTTATCAGCAACGCCAATTGTCAAGAAGGAGAAACGTCAAAGCAGTTCCCGTTACAATGTCACAAAAAATTGTGAATTGACACCTTTGAGTCCTCTCAATGAAAGTAAGTATAATGCCTGTACCCACTAAATATTTTTTTTTTTTTTTAATTTTCAACTAATTTAAGTATTGTTTTATTTTTAACTTTTAAATATTCAACATTATTCCGCCTTTGTTTTTAAATTATTTTTTTTGCGAAGTGTTGCGTTTAAAGGATGAAATCCACTTTGAGAATATTGCTTCATTAACTCCCAAAGAGAAATGAATTCACTGAGCCTCTGATTTTTTCATTACCCAAACATTTGTACGAAAAAAAACTATAAATTGGCAATCAGTTGGTGTATTTGTGCTGCCTTAAAACTAGGTTCATATTCACTTCTGAACATATTCAAGCTTTGCCATCCGCGACAAATCATGATATTTGCCACACATTTTGCATTTCTTGCTCGCCCTGAAAAAAATGTTTTGTGGAAATATAAAATATTTGTCATTTTCACATTTTGTTTAGAGTTTGGCCGAACTTCCTTCTTCACCTTCACCGATTTACGCCTCCCCCTAACAGCAAAAGAATTTTGATTAGAAGCATTTTCATGGCGAAAGTACATTGCGAGTTTGGCATTACCTGTCGAAAGGCGACCGCCAGTTTTTGGTGGGACGAAGAATCCTTTTAACCACTTGGCAACGATGATCGCCTATTTTATATTCCGGCGCGTTGGCCTGGTGGTAAGCCCATTGCAAAAGTCATAACAGTACAGGCGGAGTTAGAGACAGTTCTGGTCATTCCAACTATAGATATTTAGAGTCGGACATATAATTTTGGACCACGTTCAAAACAATAAGTACTTATTGTTGCCACTTTGCTTTATTTATTTAAGAAATGTCATCAAAATATTTAACTTTTTATCTTTTTGAAAGTATAACATTGGGCGCGTTTCTAAGACGCAACCAACTGTTTACCTCAACTGTTTCTGAAATGCTGTCAACTATTGAGTTCAACAGTTACGTCTTAGAAACGGTAGGATACATAAACTGCCAAAACATTTGTAAGCAAGCAAAGTTAAATAAAACAGCTTAAAAATAAAAAATATTAAGCCAAAAGTATGGACAGCACAGGATTTATAATGGAGTTTTTCTTATTTTATTTTTAATATATGTATTTGTACGTGTATTTTATTTTATTAACAGCCAGTTTCGCCAGCAATTTACAGACACATTTTTTTTTATTTGAATTTTCTATGAAAACTGACTGAAGCGAAAAACATCATTTTTGACTTATATAAATTGTTGACTTCATGTAGCGAAATAATTTTATGATGGAAAAAATGGTGTAAAGTTGCCCACCGTTGAGCTGAGCGTAACTACTCAACTGTGCGTTTCTGAAACAAACACTCAACAGTTTAGCAACAGCCACGTCTTAGAAACGCGCCCATTAATTATCCTAAACGTTAAAGAACTATACAACTGCGTACTCAACAAATTTTTAGTACCTCTGAGAAAAAGGTTTTAAATTTGGATGAAAATTTTATGATTTTTTTTTTCAGTGTTCTACAAAGTTTTATATGTACATACTTGGTTTTATATGGTATTTGTGAGAGAATGAACGGTATTTTAACTGAAATTACACAAAAAATTAATAAATACATATCGTCGTTTAAAGTGCAAAACCGCGTATCAACAAAATGCAAAACCGCGTATGTGAAATTGTAGAAATTATTTTCTGGAGCGTAAAAACACTCATATTTCAAAATGGTTCTCTTTTTTTATAAAGAAATCGCATTTCTAGCTAGTATATTTCACGACGAATGGATAAGGATTGAGCCAAGAGCTTGTGTGAGCAAATCCAATTTTTGGCAGCCAATGTCAGTTACGCGGTTTTGCAGAATGACGATACGCGGTTTTGTACTTTAAACGACAATATGTATAAGTGGCATACAATATTATTATTATATGTGCAGGTTTGAAAATTCTGAAAAATACTAAAATTGAATAGGCCAGAATCCCAAACAGATGCAAGAACGACACTAAGCTATTCTAGAGAAATTTTTGGTCGCTAATTCATCAATTTAAAATTATAAAGACAAATATAAATAATAAAAAATATGTTCGATACTTATAGTAGTTTCATTAAAATAGTCTAAATAGCTTTTCAATTTAAACGGCATCCCTGCTTGGTTTAGGAATTTTTTTAAATCAAATTTCTCTCACACTCTCATCAAGGTCCTTGGTACATGCGTTTAAAAGAGCGCGACATCGCGAGAGGACCACTTCGTTAGACAATATAATGCCGTATATTTGATAGCAACCGCCTTTCTGACTATCGGAACGCCTGTATGTTTTAATTCTCTCCAGCTGAGTAGATACACACACACACACGCATATACTGTTATATTAATTTTTATACAACGGCAAATCAACTTCCCACTGGGAAAATAGGTAAGCGCCTTGCGAGGTAAGCCATGTTTTCTTTCAGTTCTTAGTACCAAAATTGTCATCATGGCCAATGTCATCTACTAGTAAAGGGCAAAATGAACACATCCGAAGACACATTACGTTGTCAGTTGCAAAATAACGTGCAGCCGAAGTTATTTCCAAGCACCGAACTACTCCGAGCGACTGCTCTGCATTACACGTAACTTACTTTGTAAAGCGGCTCAGAAGTATGTCTGATACCAAATGTACATTCTAAATTCCTAATTACATAAGGCGGCCATGCCTTTGTAAAAGTAAGGGACGTTCGGCAGGGAAATGGTAATGACTGCCAGGTGAAGAGTAAGTTGCTAATAAGGTATTATTACGTGCTCCTAATTCCCACTGGGTTGTGCCAGAGACTGTTTGAAGAGGAGAGTGTGTGTGTTTTGCTGCTATTCAGTGAAAAACATATTGATTTTTCCGGCAGACTTTTCCATACATACAGTTCGTCTTGAGTTTACTATGAAGTGCGGTAGTGAATACACAACATTTTCTTTCACTACGGATGGTTTAAGTTACATATTTAAATACAATAAATCCAATAAAGTTTTGAATAAAATCCATAAACTACTAAAAAGATATACATATGTACGATACATATATATACATATATGTACATATGTACATGCCTACCTCAAATATTGCTAAAAGCATTTAATTCACTTGCATTTCCGGCATTTTCTGTGCTCATTTATTATTGATGAATAAGATTTCGTAAATGAACTCAGGCTAATTTGTGCCTTTTAAATTTATAGCCAGCACTTGGTAACTATTCGTTGAGACAGAAGGTGAGATGGTTGGTGTTGGAGTAATATATTCGAAAATGTGGCGACGAACGTGTGCTAATTAATTGCGTATCAAATTTTATTGTTTGTCTGTCGATTGCTTCGGTATTTCCGTTTTTTTTTTGTTTTTTACCCGTTCGCTCTTGTGCTCGACTGTTCCGGTTGTGCTTTTATGTGCATACAAATGTAGCTGCCAATGCGTAATGCGTATGTACTTACACGTAAGAAAATTAAAGTGCCTATAATGAGAAAGATGTTTAAAATTTCTAAACAGTGCCGGCAAAATGAACAAAGTAACTGGCTTTCGAAAAATGTTCTATTAAGCTTTTAATGTTCTTTAAAAAGTTTTTTTTTTTGCTAGTTTTTCTTTATCGCTTGGCTTAGCAAGCTTTTTGTTTTGCGGATCTATGTACATACATATGTATTCATTGCCATCCTGGCACTGCATATCGACGCTACTTTGGCAAAACCTCGTATCTCAGAACTCACTACCACGGTTGCCGTTTTGATCGAAATGGTCCAAATCTTTTCGTTTGGTCCATTGGTCCAATTCTTTTCAAAATGGTCCATTTCACAAGCCTTTGGTCAGGGTTATTATCACCCTTTCACTTCATGCAATAGTTTCGGGTTTTAAATTTTTTCTATTTAATTGATGTACATATATTTCGCCCCATGTTGAATATCGTCAGTAAAAGTTACGATACGGCCATCGTCAGCCATGTTACTGTTGCGCTGACGATCGTCGACGATGACGATGACGATATTCAGCATAGGGCCGATTGGTGGCAACACCTGCTAAAAGTGTGAACTCGCCTTGCCACTGATCTTCAAATATGGCATGGCTAATCTGTCAAAGTACGCTCCAAAAAATATCGCGGTTTCTTGCTAATTTCACTTACTCGGTGACGAATATTAAGGTGGCTGGCAAAAATATGGAAAGGTAGCAAAACATAAATCATAGCATTTAGCACATGAAAATAATATTCGATTTCAATCGAAAAGATATTGAACATCTTGAAATTCGTACACCACATAAAGTTCTTTCTGATACTGATGTATCAATTTTGCCGCTACTCGAGCAATTTCCGGCATTGGTAAAAATTATGCAGACATAATTGAATTTAAATTTCGCAAATTGAGGCTGAGTGAAGGTAACTTCAAAAAAATGTACCAATATAGACCGTTTTTGGGATCAACTAAGTTTGATTAAAGATAGAGTGGGTGAAGCGGCCTTTGGAGAATTGTGTGATTTAGCTCATAACATTTTTAGTCTACCTCACAGTTCCGCAGCAGCTGAGCGCAAATTTTTTGATTTAGCATTAGTAAAATCGAATTTAAGAAACAAATTATAATTTAAAACTTTAAATAGTATAATGTTAACAATATACAATTTTAATGCACTTTGGATGTTATATAAAAAAAAAAGTCGATATAAAAACTGAATTGGCATATTTTCTTGATAGAGAGGAATAAACTCCACTCAATTTCCCGATGTAATAAAAATTGGTCCATTTTTTTACCATTTGGCCCATTTTTTGGCCCGAAAAATAAATTGGAAATGGCAATGTTGCTTACTACTACTTCGTATCTCGTAAAATTGATTCAAAATAGGCCTTAAAATAATACGATTCATTATATATTATTCTTAATTAACTAAAAAGTAGTTAAACTTTAATAGTCAGTAAAAAAGTTATTAAAAATTATTTTCTGTTATTAATAGAGTGTTGTTTGTTAGAGAGTGTTGTTTGTTAGAGAGTGTTGTTTGTTAGTGTTTTTTGAGATATGAGGTTTGGCCAAAGTACCGTTGATATGTATTTTTCTGTATGCCATTTCGCCCATTCATTTAAGCTGTTTATCATATTCTATTCCAATCAGGCGAGACATTTATGTACATATGTAGTATTTATTGCTAAAAAAAACTCTGGCTTTCATTCTGTTTCTCTTTGACACTCTTTACCGAAAAACAATCAATTTATGTTTACTTTAATGTCTGAATGGAAATGAGTAATGGTTAAGGCAAGCAGCTAGGGTATTTCCATAGTTTCAAAAGTGGTGCAGTGGTCGTGAATTCACAAACGTCGCTCTATGGCAACGAAACGCCCGAATATATGGTTAAGTAAAACATAATTTCTTATTCTTTAAGGAACAAAGGTCAATCAATGATATATTTTCCGACTTCTTTTTTTTCAGTGTATAGTTTATGTTATAGAATCAGCTATATTTTTTATAAAAAATGAACGAAATAATGTATCACAAAAAACATTGTGAGTATTGTTAAAGATGTAGATGCGCTAAATTCGTGACCACCCTTGTACATATGAACTAGAGATGTTTCGAATGTCATATTTTTCACATGCGAATGCGAATATTCGGAATGCGATTGCGAATATTAGGAATAACATTAAAGCTAAAGCTATAATCGACTTAAGTCATCGTTTTTGTTAATTAAATTTTTTTAATATTACTAGAACATTGAACGAGTGCGTAACCTATACAGTGCACTTTGGTCTGGCGACTATCATTTGCTGGCCAAAAGTCGAGAAGTAAGCAAATTGATTTGAAACTTAGTGTTTGGGGGTTTTTTGAGGCCGCTGATTTCGAATATAATGTCAGATTTTCGAAATTCAAAATGGCGGATCCAATATTATACTTCTTTCCCTTTCACGAAAAACTTATATATGTATAAGCGGGGTTTTCAAGATCGCTTATTTCGAATCTGATGTAAGGTTTTTGGAATGTAAAATGAAGGGGGTGCAATATGGCGACCAAATTTTATAAATTTTTACTTTTCAGTGTAAACTCAAATAAATGCGGAGTTTTCGAGGGCGCTGGTTTAGAATCTGATAGCAGATTTTATAAATTCAAAATAGCGGATCCAATATGGTTACCAAATTTTATAATTTCTTCTTTTTCACCAAAGACTTATATATAAGGGGGTGTTTGGATTCCATATGGCGTTATCGGGAAAATATTTTAGTGTAAAAAATTTGTTTCGTTTTTGCTATACATATATTTTTTTTCTAATCACCGCTGCTTCAAATAAAAACTTTTTCCTTTAAATATAAGCTTATATTTGTATTATTTGAAATTGAATTTCCATTCTCTTTTTTGAAGTATCTTTCTCACTCGAAGACTCATACCATTTCGAACTACAAGAATATTGACTACGAAAGAAATACATTTTTAAACTTTTAGTTGAAATGTCAACTTTAACAGCTGATGGGAGCTCAATGCGAAAACTCACAATAGCGATATATCGATGGTTTCCGATGTTTCACAATTTGTTAGGTTGTGGACACATCAAAAGAAAATTTTAAGACTTTTCAATTCCAAATCTCTGTAATTCAATTAGAAATATACTTACATATCGCACACCGTCCTCAAAAGAGACACAACTCAAAATTTGGCATTTTTGAAATTATGCGCTAAACATGTACACAGAGCTTTTATTTACCTTTCAGCAAAAGCCGGAGCAGATTTTTGTTAGCATTTGTTAAAAAAAAACCTAAGGTAAAGTGTCCCTTGCCCATATGATTATTATGGGCCAAGGAAAAGTTTTTCGAATTTTCTGACAAATGTGTAATTTTGAGTTGTGCCCCTCTTGAAGACGGTGTGCGGTGTGGATGTATTTCCCTGTATTTATTTACCATTGCTTTACTCTTCCTATAAAAAGGTTAAAAATACATACCGTAGTAAGTTCGCTGAGCCTAAAAGCGCAAACAGTCAACGACGTAGCGTAGACGTAGGTTGACTCAGACACGATCTTCCTTTATCGGATTCGCGTGTTAACGAAAATGTTGCCGTTGCTTCTCCCTCTCTCTATAAACAGTAAATTTGATATGCTGATACATACGTCAATGTACGTTTACGTTACGTCGTTGACTGTTTGCGCTTTAAAGTTCCAAGGCCCGATTTCGTTGAAATTTCAATGGAAACCCGGCCCTTTTTTAATGATTAAGTAAGGATTTTTAATATGAGCAAACCCGGAATTTCTGAATGTTCCCCAAAAGAATAAGTAATAATACTCATGGGCAGTCAAACAATTTTAGGAGCATAATGGGTCGATGTTAAAACATCGTTGAAACTGTCATCGACGTATCGTCAATTTAGCGATTTTAGGAAATTGCAACATCGAATTTTGAATCGATATTATCGATGTTTCAAAAATATCGATGAGTCGTTTGCATCCCTAGGGATGCAGAAAAAATCGAAACAAGTTTTATTCAAATTTAAAAATTTAATTTAGATACTGATAAACTTATTCGTGAATGATAATTTTGTATATTAGATGGTAAAAGAAACGATTAATTGTAAAAATGTTTTACACCAATTTATACTCGCATGTAAATTGTCACAGATTTTCTTTAATATACAATATGTGTGTACATTAGGGTGGTCCTTAAAAAATCAAATGAACGATTTTTTTCTAGTCCCACCCCTTCAATCGGTAATACCACGAACGTAAATATCACATACAAATTTTGCACCCGATTGGAGGCGGTTAAGTGTAAATATAGATGTAGTATGTATGGGCCTACATATAATGATAATTATAATAAAGCAATAATTTTTGACATTTGTGAGAAACTGTGCTGTTTGTTGAAGCAAAAAAGTAAGGAAAAAGAAATCGTAGTGCACGCGTCGGTATGTTGTACTAAATATTTACTTAAAAATCAGCCATATCAGGGAAAACGGGCAGACGCTACTTAGCCGGCATGCATGGTGCTGGAAAGGAAGGCACGCAACCTCACAGTATATATATTAAGAGTGGTTACGGTGATCGCCTCAAGTGTAATTTAGACATCTCTTGCTGCTTATTCAAACCCGCCGGCTACCACAAAGTTTGCCCCATTCACTTTCAGGGAATAATTTTTGGTTTTTTTTTTTTTTTTTAATATTTTTAAATAAACCGTTCCTGAAGTGACTTGACAGTTGTTTGCTTGTAGTTGTTCACAAATATATGTACATTTATACTAATACAAGCAAACATTTATTTGATAGGCTGTATCCCTTTGATTGCGGAATAAAAACACATTGTGAAGATACGTTACTATCAATATAGAAGTATGTATTACATACATATATGGCATTTAGGGACATGACGTTTTCTAAGGGTCGCAGCATTTACGTATTACTGAATATTCAATTCTGCAACGTATTATTTGATGCATTATAAATTTACGAGTCTTTTGACATGCTTTACGTTAATTTCTATCCCATAAAATTTTGGGCAGAGCTTTGATCCATTTGACATGGAACGTCCCATATGTACGCCTACATATTAATGTGTGTACATATGTACATACAAAAAAGCGATTTCGCGGCTAGCCTTTGAACTTGAATCATATATGTATGTACATACTATATACTTATGTGTCTGGGTACATGCTGATATCGAAAGTTCATCGCAAATATTTAATCAGTTTTTATTGTGTTGCTATTGCCTTTATTGGCTTAACCATAGCTATTATTTTCATTCGATCATCATCATTGCCTTCATTATTGACATCCTTTTCAATAAACATAAACGTAAACATTCGCAAGCTTCTATAATTTTTTCTGTTCTTAACTTTGAGAAATATATGACGATTTTTTAATATTTATTTTTACTGTGCTTTTTTTTCTATCCGATCAATCCAAGGCATATCAAACATGTAGTAGCATTAGAGCAAAAACAACATTTGCGTGTATTTTTTTGTTGCTTCTGGTGGCGGAAGTGTCAAAAACTGTTCTGATTTCTTTCTTCTAAATCAAAGCGTGCCATGTGAAATACAAAAAAATAAAAAATTGAAATTGAAAAAAATTAAAATTGTTGCAACTTTCTTTCTTAGTAAATTTGTTTGCTTCTCGAAGCATTGATCCAACCTTTGCGAGCGTTCCAAAATCTGCTATTCAATGCCTTGTTTTGTATGGAAAAGGGTTTCACATTTTGCAGTCCACATAATTTGGAAAAAATCAAATCAGCTGCTATACTGATACTACCTGTTCAATGTGCCTTGGATCAATCAAAATTCAGCATGATAAAAACATTACAAGGTAAATTCATTCTCTCAATTCGCCGGCCATGATTTTTTTCTGACGTTTGCAAGCATTTTAAAATCATATAAAATTTAAAGTAAAAAATGAAATTGTTCAGAATATCGGTGAGTTTGAGTTTAGAATTTTTAAATTATATAGCTGGCAAACGTCAGACTGCTTCTCAATGGTTTTACCTTGTTAAGTTTCTATCATGATATTCAGTATTCAGTTTTAGCGTAACCGATGTTTGTAAACATTTAAATAAATTTGTGTTAAAAAAAATATTTTATTTCACATCTTTTTAAATACGGTGTGCTTGGGGAAGTTTTGACCAAAAAGTCCTCCCCATCCAATTCTGTTGTCATATCCAAATGATTTGAGCTAAAAATTAAAATCTTCTAGGGAAGAATTCGAAAGATATCTCCATTATCCTTAATTTTTCGTAGCATAACTTTTTTAACTAAGTTAAAAACTATCCTACAGTAAACATTTTGGACGAAAAGCCTTCGTCTATCCATCGCAAATAATACTCGTTTAAATTTACTTATGCAAGCTTTGAAATTTGCAAAAACCTCGAAAACCCATGATTTTTGGTAGTTTTTGCGATGAGTTAATTGAGTAATAATCGGGGCTATCACTCCTGAACCCACCGAACCGTTATATTTTCGGCTTCGATCATGAGAATATGATGAAACTTGCGTCAATGTGTTGGAAATTAAGATTTGTTCTCTCTCTTTTTATATCTTTGAATCATTGATCGGACTTCTACCACATTGTGGTAGATCTACCACACAAGGTCTGAAATCTACCACATATTCACGTTTTTGAGTAGTTTTATTTTTGCTCGACATAATTTTCTTAATTTTAAGAGCAAAAATTGTCCAACACTAAACACTAACAACAGGCAGAATGGGAGGATGAAATAAACCGTAAAATAGTAAACTTTCTCAATATCCAATTTTTCGACAGGAAACGTGGTTTTGTTAAATTGGAAAATAAATGATTTATAAAAAAGAATTGTAGCGTAAATGTTAAAAAAAACGTCGATTTTTGTGAAAGTATTAACAAATTTCAGTGCATCTAAAGTTTCTAAAGCGTTGTTTACTTTTACTTGAGAATTGTCAAAATCGGCAAATCCCAAGTAGCGGTTTCTGGAACGTGCCACATTTGTTCGCTACATCGTGATGTGATAAAAAGAAAAGCTGGCAGCACTTCGCAAGGTTGCAGAAATCTTTCAAAATATGTTCGAAAAATATCTTGATATGGAAGGAACTGCTTTACACTGCCAAGGAAAAAAGTTGCCAAAACTCAACGCAATTTTTAGCAACTTCAATCTTCCACTTTATTATACTAAAATTAATTTTTTTTCAGATTTGCAATTTAGGTGAAACCTTGCAGAATGTTTTTAATTTTTGTACAAAGTTTGATCCAAAACCTGAGATCTGCCACATTTTTTTTAAATCTACCACATTTTTTTCCAGATTCTACCACACACATTTTTTTCAAGTCCGATCACTGCTTTGAATACATTTGATTTCTGATTTTTAAAGGTCTAATTGAGATATCTTCTTACACACAACAAAATAAAGAAAAAAGTTTAGATACTACTTAGCGGGGATTTTCACAAGCTTTAAAACGAATGAAAAGTATGGTGACTCATCGCATGGCTTTTGCAAAATTTTAAGGCCTAAGCAAAGTATTTTCGGCGTAAACTCAAATTAATATTTTTTATTATTTATAATTATATATTATTTTCCATAGAGGATTTTCATTTGCAGCTCAAATTATTTGGTTACAATGATAGATTGGGAGTTTAGCGAAAAATTGAATGTCCTCCCCCCCATTTTGGGTTAGATAAACCGTATCCAAGCACACCGTGTAAAATTACTTTAATCGATTCACTTCATCTGCTTTGTATGCTTCATAAATAGTTAATTTACTATGTACATATGTATGTATATACATTTAAGCTGTTTCTTTACATTTTTCGTTAAGCCGCCATACTAAAATGGTAATTGTAAAGTGGATAACTTCAGTACATGAATATTTGGGCTAGAAACCACAGACGATTTGTTTAGAAATTCTATAGAAACTAACGTAATACACAAACCAGAAACAGACGCCATAATTGAAATAAATACGTACATACGTCGACTTATGTATCCGGCGACATTAAAAGTAACACAACGGCTAAATAAAAATTGGAATAAAATCTTCAAATCGAAATTTATCAATCAACAAAATAATCCAAACTTTTTTATGAAAAGTTAAGCGGTAAAACAGTAACAACACCTACATACATACATACATATATGTATGTATGTACATATACTCATGTAGGTAATGCTAATAGACAACAGTGGAACTTTTGTATCTATTCAATCAAGAAAAGAAAGTATTTGTACGCTAAGTAAATTTTTGCTAAACAAGTGATTGTGTCTAGATATTAAATACATACAAGTGTTGTGGGCGAATTTATACTGTTTTTTTCGTTGTTGCTGCATTGCTAATTAACGCTACAACACGAGTAGTTTTGATGAAATGGTATTTAATGCTATGTACTTTACGGGCAATTCGGTCGGTTTCCAGCAACAACAGCCACAAATTCAATCCCACGTGCCGCAAGCACCACAACAGCAACAGCAACAGCAACAACAACAACAACAACAAAATTGCACAAAAACAGCGCGACACCTGGATAGTGAGGCACAACGATTGACTGCAGTGAGTGGGGGTGAATCCATAACTACAACTACAACCACAATAACTATAACTATCGATCCAGCGAAATCGATTAATGCAACTGAGCATAAATCGTCGACTAATAATTATCAAGTTATCCGCAAGCACATAAACAATAACGGCATCAGCGCTAACAGTACAACAGCACATTTTGCGGCTAAGCGAAAAAACTCACCATTAATATCCATTGCAGCAACAGCAACAGCAACAACGACTACCGCATCCATTTCAACAGCCACGAGAACTCCAGCAGTGGCCGCTACGTCGGCGCTTTCATCCGCGAATTCCGTGGCCAGCTACTATGGCTTAGGCATACCCAAGTCGCCCTCATTTCACAGTGGACTTGATCAATTGGCCGAAAACAACGGCGACTTTTACGTCAATCGGCCACAATTGCCAAACGCCAACGGCCGCTGTGGCCACGACGACAACGACCTACATAGTGTAGGCAGCACTAGCGGCGGCTCCATAGTACGACAACCAACAACTGCAAATCGCGATATAAAATTCAAATTCACTAATATTGAGGAAATCAAAACGAAATTTCTGGTAGGGGGGGGCGCAAGTTAGAGCCGCTCACCCAGTTGGTAACAACCATTGCATTATGCCCACAATGCCGCAGCAACAGCCAGCAGACAATGCGGCCACCGGATCAGCAACAACGCAGTCGATAACAACAAAAAGCAGCAACACATCGTCGTCAGTGACAACTGCTCCTATCGCCACTGGCATTGTTTCCGCCGCTGTTGCCTCGATCTACAACTCCACCAACATATCTACATCTACATATACGTACAATTCCAATAAAGTAATGTCCGCCAACAATACATCTCCATATTCCTCATTGTTAGCATCATCCTCATCTACACCGGCAACGACATTGACATCGTCATCGGCATCTGCATCTGCATGCATGTCGAAGCCGACTTCGTCTGGTACAAGCACGACTGTGGCCGGTGGCCTGCCTGGTGGAGGTGTTGGCGTTGGCGTCAGCGTTGGTGCTGGTGTCGACTGTGCTGCTATCAATTCAATTAGTACTGTCATTGTCACCACATCGACGACGACAACGTCATCATCTCTGGTTGCGACACTGACACAACACTTCTCAGCTGCCACCTCGGCTACATCACTGCTTTCAACAGCTGCCACATCATCGCTAACCACTAACAATAAGGTTTGATTGACATTTTACATTTTTCTTCTTCATGTACATATATGTAGCTGTTAGCGAACATCATATGTTGATATGTAAACCTCATTATTGTCTGCATACATATGTACATATTTATGTACAACTGCTCTACAATTCGTTATTAGAACTTCATTTATGTTTGTAAAGTTTTCAAGCCAATTGATATTTCCAGCCCAAGTCATGCGAAATTAACGAATATGAATACGCTGAAGATAAGGAAAGCGGCAAATTATGCTGCCCGAATTATCGAGTGCATCCACATTTAAATTGGATTTTTTCTTTTTGTTTCTAACTTTAAAAGTCGAAGCAGTCTTAACTCTTGACCATAAGCTAGAACTTCACATACGGCGCTCTCTTCGGCACATCAAGTTTTATACATAGTGCATACGGTAAGTGTCAGTGAAAATCGTACTATAAAATTTTTCCATTTTTTGAAAATGCTCCGTTTTATTTAAATTTTATTTTAATTTTTGATAAAAAACATAGTTCACACTATAACGAAATTCATAAAACTCTCAAGTTTCTAACTTTGCAACACTTAAAAGAAAATCGTAAAATTTTCATCAAAGTTTCACATTTTTTATTCAGAATTATTTTGGTTTTGCAGTATATAGCCCATTCAATTTTAGTATAATAAAGAGCAAGTTTGAAATCGATTTGGATTTTTCTTTCAGTGTTGCGCATTTTCTTCCATATCACGAACGATCGCATGTTATTTCATATGGAAAATTTTTTTTGTTGTATTGTAAACTATATTTTTATTAAAAATTAATAAAATTTAAATAAAACAAAATACGATTTTCACTTTCACTCGCTGTATGTGTGTCAGCGTCAGCGACACAGCCTGCAAAGTAAAAAACAAACTTTTATGGAATTTTGATTGGTAATAGCAAAAGTATGGTTCATTATGCTCTAAAAACAATCTGTGTGAAAGATGACGATTTTTGGTCAATATCCTCGCCTCACCCAAGTCCATCAAAGTTCAATGTGCTCAAAAAATAAAAATTAATAAATACATTAATCAATACATTTTTTTACTGAAATTGCAAGTATCTTCGAAAATATTAGTCCTACATAATTTGGTATATGGACATTTTTTGTAGAGAATCGAGGTAAGTTAAGAAACAATTTTTAGCACCTGAACCTTGATGGACTTGGGCATGCCTAAGATATTGACCAAAATCTGTCATCTTTTACACAGATTGTTTTAGAGCATAATGAACCATATTTTTGCTATTACCAACCAAAATTCTAAAAAAGCGGATTTTCGGCCCACGCTAATGTACATACAGGTACATATACATTAATACAGAATATTAACCAGATCCTTGTCTAATATCCGACCGTTGCGTACTTTTTATCAAATAAAAGGTCAGACTTGCAGCTTTTTGAATTATTCGAGCATTGAATCTCCTACATATCGCGCACCCTCTTCAAAAGAGTGGCAACTCAAAATATATGTACACATTTATCTTCACCGAAATTCATACAAAAACAGGTGTAACAGTAGTTTTCTTCTTTGAGAATATAATCATGAAGAAAAAAATATTTGCATTAATTAGAGATAAATATTACGAATTGATTTATGGAAAAATTTCTTCATGAAATCCTTTTATAGAGCGGAAAAAGGCGGATGTAAGCCGACAGTTTTATAACACAGGTGAATAGCCAAGATTCCAAAGTACCTAAAAGACCCACAAAAAAAGTGAGCGGAAAGTTTTTATTAAAAATAAATGTCTCAATAGACCAGATTTTATATGACTTTTGGCCGGTTTTACCGTACAAATACTGCCTCTCGTGATTAGATTAAGTTAATAATAGTGTTCGCGCCTATTTGGCATCTCTTATGTACTTGTTTATTACAAACTACTGGCAACTCTGGCTTGCTTGCTGTCAAAGCTAACTTCCTTTTTTGTCCTCTCTCTAATAAATGGATTTGACATAATCGAACGTGTTTGGTTTTTTATTATCGAAAGGAATCCGCTTTAAACGTTTATTAAAACCCGCGAACGCTATTAAGCGTTAACAAATAGTTTAACGATGAACTGTAAATCCGGCCTTATATGTTCGTTTTTGGTTTGCTCAAACTTCCATCTAAACGTCCATAAAGGGGTTAAGATTGTATTCGCTCAAAATCATGCATATAATTTGAAGTTCAATGAAAAAAGAATTGCTGTTACATATATACATATACATATATTTGATGCTTGTAAATTTCTATTCATTTTATAAAAATTCTATCACATAACAAAACCAACTCATCGCGATTTGGCGCCACATCCAATCCCTCCCTTGCTGATCACATCACTGCCGAAATTATTGTGTTTGTTTCTATCGCCATTTATCATATGATCATCCCACTTCATGCGCTTCTACAACACTCCACAATCGCTCGGTGTGGCCTTCCTGCAAGCAGTCGCCAGTGAGTGCGGCTGCCGCTATCAAAAATATTTTGAATGCTACAAAGAATGTTGGCAATTCTGCTGCGGCCGTAGCGACGAATAGTTTTAACGGCTGTCAAGGACAACCGACAAATGTGGCACAAAATATTGTCAGCGGTATCGGTTATTCGTTGGGTATCAGTAGTGCTACCAACAATAATACAGCTACATCCGGCGGAAATGGTACATCTTTAGCAACAAGACTAAACACTTCTATTGTGGCGCATTTTCAAAATGGCGGCGACGAGTCGAATAAGGGTTGCAGCGCTGGAGGCAACAATAGTACTAATGGTACTCGTAATGGCAATGGCCAAGCCAATGGCAGCAGCACCACCGCCGACGGACCGACTGGCAACGGAATTTTATCGCCGCAAACATTACAGCAAATCACCGGAAGTCCAGGGCGCGCACGTGATCGCAATCTTTTCCATTCACCATCTGCGACATCGGAGGTCGTACCATTGCCGCTACTGCGAGGTGCTTATTAACATTTGCTCCTTTTTATATGTCTCCTTATTTTGTTAAAATGTTGTCAACACGATTCGCTTGATTTAATTGATCACGTACGCGCACTTTACTATCTACTTATTTTAATGTATACTTTCATTTGAGAAATATGTATGTAATGTATGTAAACTGACGTGTGAAAAATGTTGTCAAGTTCAGTTAGATATGTATGTAATTGTTTGCATTTTCATTTTCACTGCACCAACAATTGTAAGCAAATAAATTTATTTTCAATTTTCATATGCATTCGTACGTTTTATTTGGCATCGTAACCGACATCACCTTTTTATTTTACCATTTCTGATCCTTTTTAATGCATGCTAAGACATTGAACCGACTTTGCTTGATATCGAGTCCGAAGTGTTGAATTTTCTATTTTATACAACATAAAATCGAGCCCAAGCTGCCAAAGCGAAATTTTTTTTCAAAATTTTCCATTTGATGCAGAAATATTCCTAGAGCATTTAGATGCATTTCTGCATCAAAAATAAAATTTTGGATCAAAGGCGCTTATACTTTTTTGCCGGTTAGGGCACGAAATATTTGTTTTCTAACAAAGGTTTTTTAAAGGAAACAAAAGTTCAATTGCATTTTTATGTACTATACATAATTTGTAAAAAACTAAGCTAATTTACAACTGCACTGGCGGCAAAAATAATAGAAACGCCTTATTTTGACTAGTTTAAGCTATATTCCTTTTTTTATTTAATGTTCACTACTTTTATTTTTATAAAGGTCTAGCTCATTCATTATGGGCGTTTCCAGCGGAGAGTCTACCGCAAAAAAAAAAATAAAAGTCCTATATCTAACTCATTTATAGGCCATTTGGCTGCTTTCTATAATATATACTGGTTATGTAACCGGCCGTCTTCACCTGCTTGAAAATCTCGTTTGCATTAGGCAGCATACTTTTTCATTTGTAAAAACAAGACGGCTCGAGACTTGCAGGCGGTGTTGCCAAGTTTTGAATTTGAAAAAGCACTAAACCCAAGAAAAATCACGGTTTTTCTTAAAAAAAAAAAAACCACCAACTTTTTTATTGGAGGATTTTATGGACTTTGTATGCATACAAAATTTTATTGTAGGTGTGCCGATTCAAATTAATCAAAGGAAATGTTTCTTGCTCGGCGGTCGAGTCTTTTCTGTTTTCTATAAATTCAAATATTTTCGTGCGACGTAAACATTTTTATTCATATTTTCTATTTTGCTGCTGGGTCCAGCGTTGCCGTTTCGCTTAGATTTGCGCTGTTTGAATATTAATTTTTCTTCGCGTTGCTTAATTTTTTCTACAATTCCTATCAAATGAAAGTAACAACAAAAAATGAAGTTTCATGAAGTATTTTTGTGGAAGTTGAAATCTACACTGTAGTCTCTTACGATCTCCTGGACTAAAGGAACGTAAAGAGCTTCGCGTTCCGACCGCTTCACATCTGAAACATAACAGAATTTTATTTCCCCTTTTCAAGTGTCTTATTTGAGCGCAGAGTGGAAAAAATCTTTTTGTGTAAAAAACACCTAGTCGATTATTCCTTTTAAAAAGGTCCCTTATTCATTTTACTGTTAGGAGATGCTGGCGCTTTTTTTATTATGTATTCGTAAAGAATATAACAAATTTAGCACAAACTAAAGGTCTAAAGATCGATTCCTGGTCCCAGCAACATGGACGTTTTTGCAGGCAATGACAAGTTACCGTATGTAATTCTGGCATGATTGAAAGTGCTGCCACACATTTTTTTGATAACCATATGCTCTTTCACTTATGATTGTCATTGTGCCATGATTTTGTTTCCATTTTTGTAAAGTTTTTTACGAGACTTCCAATGTCTCTAAATTTGACTTCCATTTTTTCAGATTTATTATTATTATTATTACTAAATAATTATGAAACTTTATCCACCCATTCATTTCTGTGAGCTTTACAACTATACATCTCAAAATGAAAATGACTTCTTCCAAATAACCGGCGCCAGATCGGAGATTTAATTTTTTAGGCATTTTTTAGTAGCATTTTCCGAAAAGTTGCTTTGCCAAAATTACTACTTAACAAGAATTTTAGCAAAATATTGCTGATTTTGGTTAAACAAATCATTGGCTTCGTTTATTTTCTTTTCTAGCAGATAATTATCAGGACGAAAACGAATGGGAGAATTACGCTCACAGAGAGCGAAATAAAGAAACGCAAAACTAGCAGAAACTAGCAAGTAAACAGCTGATCGATCTATTTGACTATTGAAAATATTTGGCGCAAATTTTTGTTTATCCATTTTGACAGCTGCTAATTTCTGCTAAAAAATAAGAGCGTAAGAACGAGAGAGAGCTGTTAGTTTTTTTTTGGTTGAGAAACGCTTTCCAGCAGAAATTATTGATAGTTTGCGATAACTATCTGTTAAGAAACAAAGCTATGGAAAGTGAAGTAAAACGAAGTAAAATGTGTCACTTCAGCACTGTTATCGGCATTTATCAGTGTTGCCATAAGTCACGATATATAAGAATTAAAAGTAAGGCTATCCACATATTAGTGAACAAATTTGTCAGGCAAGTAAATTTTTGTGAAACCGCACAGTTATGCTACTGAAGAAAAAAAAACGTAGGTTGCTAGATCCTGCAGCTGATTTTTATAAATTTCTGTAAACCGATTGAAGCCTGTGCTTGAAACGTTTTCACTTTCGTTCCTTTTTAGGTCAACATAACGGTTCCGGTTTCGGGTTTGAAAAACGAAATGGTTTAAAACCTTTACGGTTTCTGTTTCGGGTTTATTCCTTGCAAAATGGTCTCGTTAGGGGTCGGGATATTGTTTTGAAAAATCGTTGTAAGCTCTGATTTGTTTCACATTTATCATGTTTGGGTGAAACGCAGTAGGATATTGATCTGCTGGTGGCGCTGATGTCAATATAAAAAGTATATTCGACATAAAATGCATATTAACAACTTTTTCAATAGTAATTTTAGTAACGTAACGCGCTTGGAAAATTAACCTTAAACATAATATTACTATAAAAAATTTTATAATAGTATTGCCCAATTCGCAGACTTTTGCAACTTTGTAATCCAAGTCAAAATTCACTTGAGTTTTTTGTAACGTTGGGCCAGCGCATATGTTTACTAATATCTTTAAATCGCTACTACCGACAGTTGTAATTTGTTCTAAATTCTGATGAATATTTGTTGAAAATTTTTATATAAATTTTGTAACTTTGATTTATATGAGTTTGGTTAAAGCTTGGACAAAGTTTTTATATAAAAACTGGATTGCCAGTTATTGCGGAAATCAGCCGTTTTTCTAGGTTTTTAAGACCATTGGATTAGCACTTCGTTCAGTTTATAAGGTACAAAATAACTTATCGGAAAATCTCCTGCTTTGGAACTAAAACATGACAATTTTTTTTTTTCTGTGAAGGTATTCAGAGGACTTTGGCAGGACTTGGAATTGACCCGATACATTACAGTCTGTCGATAAATTTCGATAATTTGATAGTATCGAAAATTCAAAGAATTTCAAAAACACTAAAATCTCATAACTCAACAAAATTCGGTAACTCGAATGTGCGTTCCGAGGGCTCGATAAATTTCTTAATAAAAAAAAAATTATATATCTCGATATAAATCGATGAACTTTGGATACCTCTATAAATCTCGATATCTCGGTTAATTTTGATAGCTACATATTTTTCGAAAGCTATAAACAGTAATAGTTCTACAAACTTATCGATAACTCGATTATTTTGAAAAATCCAAACGCTTCTATTTGACAAGTCGACAAATTTCAGTAAATCAATAAATATCAATAACTCGATAATAAATATTGATCTCTATAAGTGATGACAACTCTATAAATATCGATAACCTGATAAATTTCATTAACTTGGCGAATTTCAATAGTCCCATTAGTTTTTATGGCCGGAAACCATACGTAAATTTCGACAACTACTTAAGTTTATGTTTCTATAAAATGCGTTAACTCAATAAACATTGATAAATTTGAATGACTCCATACGTTGCGAAAACTTGATAAGAGTGGATAACTCAATAAATTTCGATAACTATAAACTTCGATTATCCGATAAATTTCGATAACTAAATTTTTATGACTGAATTTATGCCGATTTCTTTCGAAAAATTTCAATAAAATATCTTACCCTCTTATTAGTGGCGTTCAAAATAATAGCAGCGAAATTCAAAATGATACTGCTGGCAACTTATCTTTATTTATTTATTGTTAATAATTTTCATTTAAAATATGGGCCGATCTATATCAGATAGCACATAAATAAAAAGTTCAAAGCTTATACCAGTTTAAAAAAAAAATTATTCAAACTTAAAAAAGTTGTCGTCATCAAAATTTCAAACTTTTTAATCAGAATCTTTAGAAAAGTAAGTTTTGTTCATGCGTTATATGCAAGAAAATTCGCAACACCCTCAACAAAAAAAAAAATCTAAAAAATTAACTGTAATTTGTAGTGACTTGATACTTGCACTTTATTACACTAAAATTGAATGAGCTACAAAACTGCATACCCGAAATTTGTATATGCTTTGAAACTTTTATTTATGTGATATCCGATAAAGATCGGCGCATATTTTAAATTAAAATTTTTTTCCTCAAGGAATTGGGCAATACCATACTCTATTGCAAATGTGTGTTGGGTACAATGTATTTTTAACCATCGAACTTTGCTGTTAGTTGAATTGTCTTGCTACTGCCTCTGCTTCGCTGTGTCTAAATAAAGCACAAGAGAAACAGGCAAATACAAATACCACTGCGGTGAGGCAACAAATTAGCGCAATGATATGTTGTTGTTTATTTTTATTTTTTTATAAGCTAAAGCTCATGCCAATGGCTGCGGTAGTAGCGAATAGAAATAAACGTTAAAAATGCAATTTTGCAATATTTTTGCCGTTTAAAATTAGCGCATTGGCACCGATGTGTCAATGGGAACCAAAAAGCAAATCAAAAAAAAAAAAAAATCAAA